ATACAGAGATACAAATTATAAGAAAGAACCAAATGAAAATTCTGGAGATAAAAAGCACAAAAAACGAAGAAAGAATCAGCAAACCTGAAGAGATAAATCAATAGAGATTATGCATTTGAAGAACAGAGAGAAAAGAGAATAGAAATAATAACGGGTAAAAATAAAGAAAAATGAGTAGAACCTCAGAGAAAAGTGGGACATCATTAAGTGAGCCAACGTATTTGTAATCCAAGTACCAAGAGAAAGGAGCACAAAAAAATTTTCAAAGAAATAATGGCTGAAACCTTCCCAAATCTGATGAACATTAATCCACATATCAAGAAGTTCAAAGAACTCCAAGTAGAACAAACACAAGACAATCCACTTCCAGACATATCATAATCACAATGATGAAAGACAAAGAAAAAAACTTTATGTCTCCATGAAAGGGGCGGCCTTGCAAAAATAACAGGCAAATACCTCATCCTACGATTTCCCCGGTAACAGTTAAAGATCAATCCTGTGAGTTCTCTAACAGGCAGTGTGTAGGAGTTCTGTTTTGCACAACTTCTGAAAAAGCTGAATGGATGGAAAAAAGATGTAAATCTCTTTCAAAATTGGTTTTTGAGAATCTGCTTTTACAGTGTTCCTGAGTAAACAGGTGAACGAGCTCCAACCTCAACCATATCTTAAGGACAGAGTCACATCTCCTGTGATAGTCCCTTCTCCAAGGAAAGGCAGGAAGCCAACTCTTGGACTTTGACATCCTTGCAGTTTTTGTTATCTACCTGGGGCCCCTTTTGTTATCAACTGACAAACATCACTATTTTTTTCTCTCTCTTTGTCCCCATAAATGCAGCAAGCCACTTGGCCTCGCTGCTGGCACCAGCTTTCTCTTTCTTTGGGATGCCATGCCGTCTCCCTGCTCTCTCCGCCCGCCCCCCTCCCTGCCCATTCTGTCTCTCTCTCATTCTCTCTGTCCTTCTAAAGGATAAAATAAACTTTTAAACTTATATATCTTAATTTCTGTGTGAGAAATCTTTCTCCACCTGCACCGTGAGCAACTACTAGCCTTTCCACCCTAACGCTCCCTAGTGACTATCCATGAAGTGATTGTTGCCATCTTCTCTTTCGGGAAAACTCTGCTTCAACAGCCCTCAGCTCCCCTCTAACCAAGGGCCTCCCTCAGTACCGACCACTGATGCAAGAAATCCAGTCTTATTCTTCCCGCAGCCTTTTATAACTGGGGTTCCTGTGCCCAACAGGTGGCCTTCTTGGTAGGTACTGGCAAGATGCTTAAGCCAGAGTCCATGGATCGGGTCCCTGTGTTGTACAGACCCCTGCCAGGCACTTGACCTGCCGAAGATGAGATGCTGTCCGTGTACTGGCTCTCTCCTGTCCTTTACACCATGTTATAGTGTCACCGTGACTGGGAACTTTAGGAAGCTTGGTGGCTGAACAGGTGTCAAACTGGTTTTTAGGATATCTGTCTCCCTATTTTTTGTACTCCCAAGATTTACCACTGCTTTTCTCACCTCCTGCCCTCACGTGGACTCAGTGAGAAGAACCAGGTGACTGCCATTATTATCTCGCTACAACAGATGAGAAGAGTGTGGTTCCAAGAGGTTAACAAACCGAAGCTGACACTGCTTGTCAGCAGCAAGTCCAGGATTTGAACTCCAGTCAGCGTTCTTACCCCCACGTCTATTAAACTGCTTCAAAAATTGGTGTTTTTTTACGTAGATGTACTAATAGGAGATTGTGGTAATGAAGCTTCATTTATAAAAATGAGCATGATTTCCAAACAGATTTTTATGTCAAGGTCCCCAAAATTCATTTCATGAAGCATTAGCATGTCCAGAGATATTAATATGTGTTCCTCAAAAACAGTTAAAGAAGTAATGGAGGCCAGCCGCGATGGCTCACGCCTGTAATCCTAGAACTCTGGGAGGCCGAGGCGGGTGGATCGCTCAAGGTCAGGAGTTCAAGACCAGCCTGAGCAAGAGCGAGACCCTGTGTCTACTAAAAAATAGAAATGATCTGGACAACTAAAAATATATATATAAATTAGCCGGGCATGGTGGCGCATGCCTGTAGTCCCAGCTACTTGGGAGGCTGAGGCAGAAGGATCGCTTGAGCCCAGGAGTTTGAGGTTGCTGTGAGCTAGGCTGAAGCCACGGCACTCTAGCCCGGGTAACAGAGCAAGACTCTGTCTCTAAATAAATAAATACATACATACATACACACATAAAGAAGTCATGGAAATAATGTGCTCCACTCTAGTCTGTCTCTGCTAGAGATTTATAAAATAAATGGGTTCAATGAAGGCCCTGAGAAGTCACGCAATAATAAAATCTACTTAACTGTACTTAACTGAGCATATCTCAAACTCCTTAAACCACAGAATCCTTTTTAAAACCATCTACTACATTGAGAGACACTAGCACTCAAGATATTCATTCTGGGAAATGCTGAGGTAGAGGTTTGCCAGCTTTATTTCAGCTCAAGTTGGCAAGGTTACAGCACTAATGCTTTGCTAGGAGTTACGTGCCCAGAGCAGCAAGTGAGGGAAGAGAGAAATGACAGGGTAAGGTGGGAAGCAAATATAAAGTGACGATGCACTTACACCGGCCGCTGCTTCACGAGGCACGAAGAGACACAGCTGATCACTCAGCCCCACAGGATGTCCTCAGACAGGCAGATTAGCAAACTGCCTTGGAACAGTCCCTCAGAAGGATGAAGAGCCAGGACTTTATTTGCTGGCTTCATCTCCTCTCTCTCTCTCACTGAGAAAAGGCCACAGGTAGGTAAACGCCCCCACACGTCTGGGTTATCAGCTGGCCCCTTCACACAGCTGCTGGGGAAGCCAAAGCCCATGCGTGTGGCCAGGTGCTTCATCTGAGTCTGGATGGAGGAGGAGCCAGAACCTCCCCAGAACCTCCCCATTGGGTCGGGTCTGGGAACGGGCGCTGCAGAAGTTGCCGCTATAGCAGGTGTCATTGAGGCCACAGCCTGGCACTCACCGGGGAGAAGACAGCCAGTGCTGGTGCCTGTGGCGGGGCCAGTCAGGGCTCTCCATGAGCAAATGGCCCAGGGTCTGAGATACACATGAGGCCAAAAGCATCTGAGTGGACACCTACACCGCAGGAAACGTACAAGAGGACAGAGCGTACTTAGGGGAGGTTCAAGGGGACAGAGTGTACTTGGAAGGGGTAAAGCAAGGGGTAAAGCAAGAAAGAGCTGGTGATCTCTCATGATCATTTTTAACTAGCCTGTGTTACCCGAAGAAAAAAATGTTTTCTGTACAAATAACCAACTTTTCCGAAAGACAGAACCCATCATATAAAGGAATGGATTGAAGATTTTATCACATAAGTATCTCAATAACCAACACAGACAGCAGGCTGGGGGAGGTCTGCATGCCCACGGGCAGCCCCACTCCTGCCCAGGGCCTACAGAGGAGGGGCCTCAGGCTCTGAGGGTCCAGTGGGGCCCTGGCTGGGGTGTTCCCCTGAGAAGAGGGAGAGCACAGAAAGGGCAAGGGACGGATCTAAGGGCAAAGGGCAAAGAGACACAAGACCACAACTTTCTTTCAAAATTTTAAAAGTATTTGTTAAAAAAAATAACTAAATAGAACAAGCCAGTCATTTTGCTTGAAAATGAAGTTCAAGTAACAGAAACTAATTCTTGTTTGAAACTTAATGTGTTCATTATTCTTTGAGGAATACAACTATATCAACTGCACACCTAAACTAATGTAACAAGTTCGTTATGTGCTAACAAAATAGAGACTGTTTGCCTCAGTATCCATTCTTATCAAAACGAAGCAAACTAACAAAATTGTTTGATATTAGTTTCAGGAAGAAATATTTTAAACAGAGAAAAGTTTCTCACAGGGAAAAATTTTACAAAGAGAAAAATCAAGTAAGGCTTAAGACAAAATAAAGGATAATGCCATTATTTTTATTTGAGGCATAAAAAATTAAACACCGCTGCATTTAAATTAAGGAGAAAAAAGGATAACAGTAAATATGCAGCACCTGTAAGGTACTCTGTGGTCATCACAGTGATGGTGTTAACCGGGCCACAAGGTCTGGTGAGACACTTTTAATCTCTGCTACAGGGACAAGCATGCTGAACAGATGGCACAGACATAGATAGAACAGTTTCCCCAGCTGCAGAAGAGAAACATGGCTAAGGTGTTACAATCCAATAACCCGTTTTTCATGACTACTATCAACCTGCCCACACAGGTTACTGCATCATGTTTTTTATCTAAAAAGGAAAAGCTCTGTTTTCTTCTATACTATATTCACATAATACTTCTGACGCTAAACGTGTGAGGTTTTTTCCCCATACCAACCAATTCTCCAACTCTCCGGACACTAAGTGGGTATCCTACACAATTATGACGCTAACTACGTGGAGTTAGTGCAGACCCCACAGAGCAAGGGCTCAGTCTCACAAGGCTGCATCCCACTTCAAACATCAGTCACAACTAGTGTGTACCCAGGTTACCCACACTTCTGTCCAGCGTGGCTACGAATGGGGGTTCCCGCAACCCCCTCCTCAGGTTTGATAACTTGCTATGATGACACAGATGGGAGAGGGGCTGGAGGTTGAGTTAATAATCTACCATGCCTTATACACAGAAATGCCATCTATGGAATCTAGACCCTAGTGACCTTTAATTCCAAAGGGCCTGTGTATCCTTGACCATATCTTCTTGACCTTTTCCTTCATCATGTCTATACCCGTCTTATTGGGGTCTGTAGCACTGTCCACTAAACACAAAAACTAGATATGAGCATTTTTTAGTTTGATTATATGCCTAGTACAGAGGCTTATATGGCAGATGGCTAAATATTTGCTGAAAGGAAGGGAATCTTGAAAATATATAAGCTTTATTCAAAAAAGAAACAAAAATAGAAAATGAAAAAGCTACAGAAATTATATATAAGAAAACTTTAGGAATAGCCTCTGTACCCTACTGCTGGTCTGTTCAAAAGCTCACGAGGGCCTCAGGTTATAACATAACGGGTAAGTCCTCCCCCTCGGACCTCTGATAGCCTCCGGCAGTGTCGTAAGATATTCAGTAACATGTGAAACTTCTTGTCAACTTTCAAAGTTGTGAACTCCTTTATGTCAGCTTCCACTATAAAATAATGACCTGAAAATAAAAGACATTAGTGCTAACTTTTATAAGGTCAACTTTCAAGATGAGTCTTTAACGCATTAAATTGTGAATATGAATGGCATTAATCATTTTTACTGTCATTATCTAATAAAAGCAAAAACTGGTATTCTTCCTAAAATAATAATTATTCTACCAATTGAAGTTGCATACTTACCGTAGCATTTCAGAATTGGTATCTCTCGAACGATTCACTTTTCAAGAGGCAATATGGGGTAGTGATTAATACAATGACACCTGTAGCAGCGCTATCACTTAACTGGATGACCTTGGGCAAGTAAGTTAAGCATTCTTTGCCTAGTCTGCAAAATGGGATAATAATAGTACCTAGGTGATAAGGATGTTTTAAGGACTAAAGTTCTTAGCACACTATCTGGCACACAGTAAGCACTATATAAGCATGACTAACAGTTATCATTACTATTCTAATTCTCAAAACACTGGGTAGAGTTCCATAATAGACTCTAAAGCAATGTTTCTCAGGCTCCGCACTACAGACACTATGGGCCAACTAGTTCATTCTGTGGGTGCTGTCCTGTGCAGTGTAGGCTGTTTTAGCAGCATCCTTAGCCTCTACCCACTAGATGCCAGGATCTTTCCCTGCCTCAGTTATAATAACCAAGAATGTCTCCAGACATGGCAAAATGTCCCTTGGTGGGGAAAATTGCCACTGGTTGGGAATTAACACTCTAGATTTAGAATTTTCTAGAATTAGCTGTGTTTCTCATGATTTAGTTTATACTCCAAACAGTTCACATGCACATATATATATGCTACCATTTTACCTTTGGTATCTTTCGTTTCTTCATCAATAAATCTATGATAGAGATTTCTGGCCACAGAATTCATAGACTTTTTTGGTTGATGTAGAATCTTATATTTACTAATTACTGCCTTGTTGATTTCTTTAATAACTTCATTAATTTTACAATAGGTTAAACGAGATTTCATGTACCTGCAACAAAGTATACGGTTAATTATTTTTTAAAATAATCATCATATAAAATTACTTTCCTTGAAAAATGTAAGTATGATGACTTTGCATAGTAGCAAAACGATAGTACCCTTTCTAAAAAAAACTTTGTTAACTTCCAAATAAACTAGACACATCTCAAGAGCTGAAAAATTAAACAGAGATGACAACACATCAGTGTTTATCTTCTCTAATTATGTTTGGATGCCTTATACTCCATTCTCCACCTATGGAGAATTAACATTACAATTTAAAATAAGCTCTCAAATTCTGATTCAAACAGACTGATTAATTATAAGTTTAGTTAAACATTTTTAAACGTTTGTGAGCAAAGGAAAGAAAAATTTTAACATTAAACTATACAACTCACAGCACTCTACTGCTATGCAAAAACTACTGTCCATTCAGAGAATGAAAGAGGGAGGGGACAAAAGGAGGAGGAGCAGGACAAGACAGGGTACAAAGAAAACCACAACAAAATGGTCCTGGAGAAGACCTAAGCAATAAACTGATCCATCTCTAGATCTCTCTATGAAATGAGGTTTTGCAATGAAACAAAAAACATGATTTTCAGCATCTTCAAAAATTTCTTACATTTTCATAGTATAAAACTATTT